TTTTATTAATATTTTTGGTACACACACTCTGAATTTATTGAATTTTTACACAAGTTTTTCAAATAGGTTTATCACTATTGACTCATATTTTATAGACATATTACATTATTACAAATTTGAATATGGCAAAATTTATTGATTGTCAAGTTGTATAACATCATGATACATCTGGAATAGCAATATATTGGCAGAATGTTTATTTTAAGTTTGAGTTTGGTTATAATGTCCATATATATATATATAAAACCCTCTAATTTACAATAATTAGCAAATGTCATTAGTTAGGAAAACTATATGTACACTGTGTGTAAATTGTGTAATTATTTAAACATTAGTTCCATTTTTTTCAACCCTCACCAAATATTGTAAATTTAATTGTTGCCCTAGTATGTGTTCTAACCAAAAACATAAGCATTTTAATTTATTTATATTGAACCCAATAATTACACAAGACCAAAAGGTCATGTGTGCAATCAACATAACATAATAATTTCACATCACTATATAGCGCCACAATTATACAATTCTACTATCCTAAAAGCTTATGTCCATAGATTGCTCAAATACCATTTCTAAGATTCCACCCTTCAGTGTAGCATATATAAGCAGAATGATCCAATACAGTATTAGAGCTTTGAAGAAGCGGTCTGGTAGATTAAATTGGCGAAACACTGCTGAGAGGTTTCACTACTGATGAGCCAAGCCTTCCCAATATTTTTTCATTGCAGTAAGGACAGTAGAAAAGTTTGAACATTGTGTAAAAGAAACATTCGTGTCTTAATTTTTTCATTTAGAGAGTTTATTAAAATTTGGCCAACTTTCTACCACAGTCTCTTCCTCAAGGATCCTTATACAAACCAAATTATCATAAATATTAGGTAAAGGCCTCATGAAGAGCCTCTGGTGTCAAAATTAGCCTTATTTTAATAAAGAAAATGTGTCCTTGTATATTTATGTAGAAAATTTTAATATAAAATTATATTTTGAAGATTGAGCAATCCATAATTAAAATTATATTTAAAAAAGATGCATATATTGGATTTATAATGAATTTATTGTTCCAATATTTCGAGGGGCAACTCACCTCTCTTTATCGAGGATGTTTGTGTTTTTCACTAAAGCATGCGCGCACATTTCATTGGCTTTGTAGAACGAGAGTGGTGTACGCGTGCGCGCATGCTTTAGTGAAAAACACAAACATCCTCGATAAAGAGAGGCGAGTTGCCCCTCGAAATATTGGAACAATAAATTCATTATAAATCCATTATATGCATCTTTTTTAAATAAAATTATATATTTACACTAGAACTAATTCTCTGTAAAGGACAACACCTAATTGCAGAGCCAAAGTGTCCTTTAGAAAGAAGTCTCCTCTTACCAGAGAGTTGTTGTCATGTCCAATGAAGAGCCTCAGATGTTTCCATCACTCCGCCTTTGCCGGTCCCAAGCCCGGATGAAAAAGGAGGAGGGGGAGCAGTAACAAGCTCACTAAAAAACCTGGGTTCAGCTGGCCTGGCTGATAGTACCATGTAAGGGCTCCTTATCCAGGGATACAGGATGAGCAGCGTTTGTACTCCATGTTAGGAGCGGCTGCACATGGGGTCTGTTCCTCATGTCAGAGGCGGCCATTTATTTTGGAGCTAAGTCTGCCTGCCACTGAGTAGTGCTCCCAGTCTTAATGACAAAGGCAGACACATTCTATTTCACCCAGTCATGATGGTTGTCAAATCTCAAGCTTTACAAGCTTGATACCCTAATATGATTGAGTGGAGATAAGAAAGAAGAAGAAAATGAGATGTCTCCATGAATCTCTATCACAGCAATCGCTATGTCCTCTATCTTGGATCTGTAAAGCTGATAGTTATTAGAAAATGGGTGCCGTTGCCACGTTAGTCACCTTGGACCAGAATTTGGTAGAATATTCCAAAGGTCCAGGGGGGACTGCAGGGAGATATGGTTGGACTTCTCTCACACTCTTAAATTATTAAAAAAATGAAAAATTTAGTTTTGAAAACTGGCCTTTGTATTGAGGTGTTCTCTAGCGAGTGTCCTCTTGTAGAGGTGCTGTATTGGCATTTTTTATTACAATAATTAGCTCTATATATTGGACATTGAATAGAATTTTTCATGCTAGATAATCCGACCTAATGTTTTAAAAGAAAACTATATACGCCAAATAAGACTACACTATATTTAAAAAAGGTAACAAGACCAAATTCAAATGATTAAATTGTGACGTTTTGATAAAGTGTTATTATTGTAATGTCTCCTGCAATTTATTAATAAGGAAAAAATGCTCCAATGGCCCCCGATTCTTGCAAAAGTCCAACCCCACCAGCGAGTGCAAGTAACCAAACGGGGCTCTGGCATTTGTAAGTGCAAAGTCGAACTGCTTTTCACACGTGTAGACATGTGGTGCGCTTACAGTAAAAAAGCAGTCGCTAACTACCCACCATGATTATCATGGCCTGTACCACGTGTACTAGGGATAAGCAAAAAAAAAAAAAATTAATAAGGATTTTTGGTTTGTTGCTTCATGTTTCTAATCTATAATCCAAATTGTACCTTATCACTACACTATACTGGTGATATCACTGAAGAATAAATACTTCATCAAAATTCTAAAAGATCAGGAACTGAATTGGACATATATGTACTAAGACATGATAGTCAATTCAAAATGATTAGGTTGTTGTTGTCATGTTCAATGAAGAGCCTCAGATATCTCCATGCATCTCTATTACAGCAGTTGCAATGTTCTCTATCTTAGGTGTGTAAAGCTGCTTGGAAAATGGGTACCGTTGCCATGTTAGTCACCTTGGACTAGAATTTATTCGAATATTCCAAAGGTCTAGGGGGGACCGATGTGGTCGGACATTTCCCCCCCCAAAATGATTAGGTGCAATTTGGATATAGACTAGAAACACAAGGTAATAAGAACAAATATAAATACATATTTTATTTTACTTATTTATTTATTTGAATTTGGTCTTATTACCTTGTGTTCCCATAATCAACAACTTTTCTAAACCATTTGCTCTCATATGTCTGAAGTAGGTCAGTCTTTGTTTACATATTTGGGATTCTAGGATCTAATAAGATTAATTTCATTTAAGATTGAAATATTTGTCTTTTTATCTGTTCATGGCACTCTCTGAGTAGCTTTCACCAAGTCCACATTTCAAAAGCTTCAATTCCTTTTCTTTCCTCTTCTCTGAGAGTCCAGCTCTCAAATTTCATAAGTTTTTTTTTTTTTTGCTTATCCCTAGTACACGTGGTACAGGCCATGATAATCATGGTGGGTAGTTAGCGACTGCTTTTTACTGTAAGCGCACCACATGTCTACACATGTGAAAAGCAGTTCGACTTTGCACTTACAAATGTACCAGAGCCCCGTTTGGTTACTTGCACTCTCTGGTGGGGTTGGACTTTTGCAAGAATCGGGGGCCATTGGAGCATTTTTTTTTTAAACAGAAAAAAGTGTCCAATGCGGGAATCGAACCCGGGTCGTAGTGGTTGAAAGCCAAACGGTTTAACCAGCCTTCCACCGACCCCCCCAAATTTCATAAGTAACCACAAGGAATATCAATTCCTCTACAATATTAGTCTAAATGATCTTTATTTGTTTTGTTTGCCGAAGAGCAATGCTTGAATCATGTTTCTACTGTCCTCAAAGCTTAATTCCATAGTCCATTTAAAATACCTTTTCCAAGAGTCTTGCTTCAGTATCAGTATAAAAGTAAAACAGTCCAATACAATAGTAGAGCAGTATAGTTGATTGAACTGGCCAAACCGCTGGGAGGGTTTACCACCGATGAGCCAAGCCCTCTCATTTTTTTTAGCTTATCCCTAGTACACGTGGTACAGGCGATGGTAATCATGATGGGTAGAAGTAGGCGACTGCTTTTACTGTAAGTGCACTACATGTCTACACATGTGAAAAGCAGTTCGACTTTGCACTTACAAATGTGTCAGAGCCCTGTTTGGTTACTTGCACTGGCTGGTGGGGTTGGACTTTTGCAAGAATCGGGGGCCATTAGAGCATTTTTTTTTTTAAACAGAAAAAAGTGTCCAATGCAGAAATAGAACCCAGGTCGTAGCAGTTGAAAACCAACGATTTAGACCATCCTTCCACCGACCCCTTTCTCTCATTATTTTTATCATATTGCATTAAGGGGCAGTAGAAAATAGTTTTAATTTAAAAGAAAAATACACGTCATAAGTAATTTTTTCAAACTTCTAATATGATATTTTCTGCAATCTATGCCTGGTGCCTCTTGGTGAACCAAACACCTACAATATTGGGTTACTTCAAATTGTTGTACAGAATGCAAAGGTCTCCAGGCTTGCTATGTCACCACTCACTCTGTGCCATTTCTCTGCGGCATCTTTGGTTCACTGAAGGATGAGGCTCAGCTCCTTCCCCAACTATCCCAAGACAAAGGTTGTCGGAGGGCCCTCAGAGATCTCTGTGGTATTGATCTATCTGCCTTCTCCGGCAACTCCTCAACTCTGGTAGAGGAGCTTCGAAACTGTCGACAACACTATGAAGAACAAAAGATGGGAAACCAACAGAAACTTGCCTCCCTGTTGCGTAGGTTGATGGAATGATGGGAGAGTTATTGTTTTTTTTTTTAACCCTGTTTGACACTTCTTTAGAAAACCACTTAACTTTCTTCAGCTAATTATACTACTAAACTCTAAGGTAACGAGACTGAATCTAAGTAAAATTTTTATATGTATGATTTTTCTTCAACATTATTATTACTAACCAAAGGCATAATACTTTCATTTTTTCTAAATATGGTAACAATGGTGTTACCAAAACACTACATAACATTTCTTCTTGTAAAACAACATTTGAAAATAATCCTGCAAATTTTTCTTTAGAACGAAAAATCAAAATTTATTTTAAGGAGAAATAACGATTATTTCTAACCTTAGGGATGAGGTATGAAAGGATGAATTGTGAAGAGTAATGATAAACTGAAAAATAAAAGTGTCAAGGGATGGGAACCGAACCCACAGTGTTCTGCTTACCGGGCAGATGTCATGTCCTCTAGGCTATCCAGGACATATTTTTCCATTTATCATTACTCTTCACAATTCATCCTTTCATACCTCATCCCTAAGGTTAGAAATAATCGTTATTTCTTCTTAAAATAAATTTTGATTTTTCGTTCAAAAGAAACACATGCGGGATTATTTTAAAATGTCGTTTTACAATCAAAAGCTGCATTATATTGTATTGTATTTCTTCTTGTTTTGCTACTTTGTGATAAAAAGATCTCAAGAGAGTTATATTAGAAAAAAAAGAAACCTTCCTAATTTGTGCTTGTGATATTTAGATGACCAGCAAGAGTCTTCAATAATCAAAGTTGACAGTAGAACACTACCACTCTCTAAAGGACAATAACTAATTGAAGAGCTAAAGTGTTTTTTAAAGAGAGAAGTCCTCTTACTGGAGAACCTCTAATTAGTAAAAAAAATGACAATTTTGACAATGAAAACTATCCTCTTTATAAAGAGGTGTTTTCTTGCGAGTATCCTCCCATAGAGGTTCTACTTTACTACTAAATTTTTCATCTTCGCTTCTTGTCAATTGTATACAAAGTATTTATCACTCACTTTTTTTATATGGTTGGGCTATTGAACTAGCCGAAAGCTAATCATAACTTGTAGGTGTGCTACATAATAATAATTAGAAGAAAAAATATATAATTAGGTTTTATTAGATGAGAACTAACGAGTTGATGTTAGACAAATCCAAATAAGTAAACTATCCAGAATGCTTCAGTGTAGCAGCATTTGTTACAAAGTAACCAGAGTTTCTTGTTTGATCTGAATATTGGTAGTCCTCCTGGAGTTGTCTCTTTCTTGATCCTTCCTCTCTGCCAGCACTTCAGTTATTGTGAAGTGTCTTCTTCCTTCATGTATCTTTCTTTATGGTCAAAATAAGTAATCTCCCAAGGAAACTGTCAGAACATGGGTTTACTGCCTTTCCTCTTTTTCCTTTCAGCTGAATTTTCCATTAGATCAGCACTTACCTTTTTATTTTTTGTGGATATAGACTTGTTACCTTTTGTATTCTATTTTAGGGGGGAATGTGTGCATATATGAATTTCTCAAACACTAACTGGAATGAACTACATATTAATGAGATGGTGTTGAGGATGTTGTGTCTGCACTAACTCTCCCTACTACCCCCTCGCTACTAAATTCTCCAATGGCTGGTTGGTTGGTCCTACAGAGGGGGTGGATGTTACAGAACATCGTCAGACTCCGCCCCATCTTCAAACACAAGGGGGCCGTCGTAATGACCGCAGCAAAGTCCAGTTTAGGGATGGTCGGGTAAGTTGTACCTGTCTACTCCATCTCTCTTCTTCCCTATGACATCTTTACTACTTCCACAAGATTGTGTAAAAAAATAATCGTCATTGTCTTGCTCATTCTATCAATATAAATGTCTATTACATGTTAAGAGAATATTTCAAGTTGTCTTAAAAAAACTATTTTTCCTTATCTTGTTTAAACACTTGATAACAGTACTATTTAAGAACTTGCTGTGATTTTTTTCTCATTTATTCTTTTGTCTGATGATGGTGACAATGTTGTTGCCATCACACACTAATAAATTATTTGGATTAGGTCTTATTTTCTTTTATTATAATCTATAATCCAAATTATGCTTTATCAATATTGCTCCCAAAAATCTTTTCCATAATATTGTCACATAAAAAATTAAGAAAGACAAACTTCAGGATGACAACAATTTATTTAAGGCACAAATTAAAATATAAGAGAAGCAATAAGGGAAGTATTCAGAGTAGCAAATTATAAATATCATAATATCATGTTCATAAAATAAATATTTTGCTACAATATCAAAGAAGATTGGGAAGCAAGCTCTAAACAGAAGGCAGATTCTGTTTCCTGAGGAATATTGGAAGAATAAAAATAATTTGATATCCAAGATAAGTCTTTATTAACAAATTAAGTAGGAATGGCTCCATTTTCTCAAAAACCTATTTAGTTAACTGCCAAGAGGGCATCAAAAATAATGCCTTAAGTTTATGTATATCATGGTATAGAGGTTGACTTTTGTCTGAATTTTCCAAAGCTGGTGTTGTTTAAAAAAAAGAGTTTATCTTGTGGATCAATCATGGATCTTTATTTTTTCAATATATCTTTGTGTGTCTCATGGAAAACTTTATCATGAAAAAAAAAAAGCTTTGTTGTTCTAGGAAGTTTGGCTGTATTTGGAAAAACAAAGATACTTGATCTAAGATGAGCATTAAAAAAATATATATATGATATGGTAGCTCAGTTTTCGCAAAATCTATTTATATATGTGCATACACAATTATGAATCCAAATTCAAATGTGGTTAACACACAAAACTGCTTTGTTCCCCTAGGAAGTTTGACTGTAATTGGAATAACAAAGATACTTGATCTAAGATGAGTATTTAAAAAAATAAATGTGATATGGTAGTTCAGTTTTCACAAAATCTATTTATATGTGCACGCACAATTATGAATCCAAATTAAAATATGGGTAACACACAAAACTGCTTTGTTCACCTAGGAAGTTTGACTGTAATAGGAAAAACAAAGATACTAAGATAAGCATTTTAAAAATAAATGTGATATGCTAGCTCAGTTTTCACAAAATCTATTTATATGTGCACACAAAATTATGAATCCAAATTCAAATATGGGTAACACACAAAACTGCTTTGTTCACCTAGGAAGTTTGACTGTAATAGGAAAAACAAAGATCCTAAGATAAGAATTTATAAAAATAAAAGTGATATGCCAGTTCAGTTTTCACAAAATCTATTTATATGTACACACAATTTGGATTATAGATTATAAACACAAGGTAATAAGACCTATTTATTTAGATTTAGTCTTATTACCTTGTGTTTACAGACTATATTTATATGTGCATACACAATGGGTAACACACAAAACTGCTTTGTTGTTCTAGAAAGCTTGGTTGTTACTGGAAAAAACAAAGACTTTTCTACAATAAGAATTTAAAAAAAATAAATGTGATATGCTAGCTCAGTTTTTAAAAACTCTATTTATATATGTGCACACACAATTTGGATTATAGATTTTTTTATAGATTATAAACACAAGGTGATAAGACCTATTTATTTTGATTTGGTCTTATTACCTTGTGTTTACAGACTCTATATGTGCGTACAACCATTATGATTGCGTACGACTCATCCATTGATGTGCTCTACTCATCCCCGACAGACACCATCAACAAGTTTTACAAGCTTGATACCCTAATATGATTGAGTGGAGATAAGAAAGAAGAAGAAGAAATGTGCACACACAATTATAGGTCTAAATTCAAATGTAGATAACAATAGTAAAGCACTTTTCTCTGTGGAAGCATTGTGTGGCAATGTTGTATAACAGGAAGCTTCCAAAGATTATATTCTTGTCTACAAAGGGGGATGGTGGCAGAAGCCTCCACATGTCTGGAAAGGTTTCAAGAAACTCTGCCAAATGTTGGAGGAGGGGTGTCCTGGCTCAACTTCAAAATTCTCTCCCCGGGCGTGACTTCTTTTTATATCCATTCCTTGCACACTTTTTATAGAAAGGTTCATAAACTCTCTCTTTTTTATATATTGATAAGGCACAATCTGGATTATAGATTATAAACACAAGGTAATAAGACCAAATCCAAATAAATAAATAGTATGTGACGTCTTGGTAACAGCGCTGTTACCATCTTCAGACAAAAGTATTTAATGAGAAATTTTACCACAGCATGTTTTAAATAGAAACACAAGTGTTGTGTTTGTGTTTTTTTTTTCTCAGAAAACAATCTTCTTATCTGCTATCTTGTTTACACACTTGATAACAGTAACTATTTAAAACATGCTGTGGTAAAATTTCTCATTCAGTACTTTTGTCTGAAGATGGTAACAACGCTGTTACCGAAACGTCACACACTATTTATTTATTTGGATTTGGTCTTATTATCTTGTGTTTATATATTCAAACTTATGATATAAGGTACAATTTGTGGATTATAGATTAGAAATAAGAGGTATAATAAGACCTAATTATATTTGGACCTTGTGTTCCAAATATATCCCTAATTGTTTTAAATAAATAAATATTACCTTTTGTGCTCACAATAAAATTAGACCTAATCCAAATAAATTAATAGTGTGTGATGTTTTGGTAACAGCATTGTTAAAATCATTAGACAAAAGAATAAATGAGGAAAAATATCAAAGTATGCTTTTAAATAGTACTGTTATCAAGTGTGTAAATAAGATAGATAACAGTTATGAGAATTCAAAATTATTATAGACTCGCATGATTCTTTTAAAAATTAAACAATATTCTACAGTAGGAAATTGTTTAAAATGGTACAGAGCAGGAGGGACAAGCACCAGTTCTGTCCTCCCAAGAGAACAAGAGTCTTTGATTTCCAGACTTAAATCTGATCATCTACGGACAATGACTTTCCAGAATGGTTGCAGGGTTTTCCCACTATGTACTAAGTGCAATTCTCAGCCTGCAATCCCAAGACATATTATTGACTGTATTGACTCATCCATTGATGAGCTCTACTCTTCCCCGGCAGACACCATCAAAAATCTCAAGCTTTACAAGCTTGATACCTTAGTGTGATTGAGTGGAGATAAGAAAGAAGAAGAAGAAGATACCCATCTGTTGGTTAGTTATGTAAATGTAATTTGTATTTTTATATATTTTATGTAAATAGCTATTTTGCATTTTTCTATTGTTTTATCTTTTGCCTTTATAAAAGGCGATGTTGCCTGTGCCGGCAGTTGTCGTGGTAGGGTAGTGAGGCTTGTAGAGTAGAGCGCACAACTTGCTTGATGAGATAAACGTACTTCTTCTCTAGGCCTAATGTAATCTGCGGGAAAAAGAAACCAGTTGTTTTTTTTTATTCGATTTTAGTTTGCTTTTGTATACAACGTTGATCCCTTTTAAATATATATTGTCACCTTTGCTTTAGACCATTTTAATCCAAACGAACCAACAACATAGTGCACCAATCTAAAAGTGTACAC